CGGCCGAAGGCGACCCGCTGCCTGCGACCCACCCGCCTTTCCCTCCGCTGCCCTGCCCAGGAGTGCTTCAGGGCCAACGGCATCACCGGCCGCCGCCTCGTCCTGGCGAACTGCTCCAGCCTGCCCGCCATGGGTGTCACGGACTTCGGCCACATGCAGGTGCGGCCGGCTGCGGGTCCCGGAGCTCCCCCCTCAGCTCCTCGGAGCCCAGCTCTGACCCTTTCTGCTCGCAAGCAGGCTAGGCTATAGCCTGTCCGCCCAGGCAGATGGCTTATTCAAAGAGTGAGCCTGAAACTGGACAACCAAATTTGTTCAGCCAAACGGTTATATTTCTTGAGGCTTTTCAGGTATAAATCCTTAGCCAGCTGGGATCGCAGGCTTCCTCTCTGGGACACCGTAAGTGCATCAGAAGTGCTTAGCAATTTCTTTAAGCCTGTGTTGTTCCTCTTGCCCCATGAAATTGCTTAGCAAGATGCATGCGCCTTTCTTAGATATCCCTCAGTTTCTTTTCAGTAATTTTCCCCTTACTGATCTATAGAACTTCTAAAAATCTAGTCAGAATTAACCTGCAGCAATTGAGCCACCAATCTCGAGGAGCAGAAGGGCAACTCATTATTACTTCCCTGTTTTACACTTTGCTGAACACAAACAGCATCTCTGTCTTTTTCTCATTTTATAAACATGGAATTGTCTGGTCATTTTGCTTTCAAACCTACATCTCTTCTTTAACAAACACTGATAGTTAAGCTAACTAGACTGAAGTTTGGGGCTACAGTCTGGCCTTCCAAAGCTTCCTGAAAGTTCAGAAAATAAGCAAGCTGACTTAAATGTCACTACTCTCCTTCCCCTCCCTAGTGGAAACAGGGGGACTCAGGGCTGCATTTACAGAGCCAAATCATTTGTTTCGCATCATGATTTAAAGTTGCTTTCCCCAGAGGTCACAAGGTAGAAGTTCAAATAACCAGGAAGAGAGAAAAATCTTTATGCTCCAACGACTGGAGTATGAACACTGTTTTATTCTAGAGCACCAAAAAACAATTTCACCATAGTTCTGTCTGGCTGCACAATCTTAACTGTTTGTTTGAAACGAAATATGCCACTAAACCCACTGACTAGTGCCACAACTTTGCCTGTTGGTCGGAGGAGAAGGCATCAAATTACAATGCTTCATTTTTCAGACGGCAGCCCTTCAAGAGTATTTCTACTACAAGCAGATACAGCCTTTATAGTCATTTGCGCTTACCAAAGATGGCAAGAATTTTATAGGCTTTGTAAGGCTCACCCTCACATTGGGATATAGGGATTATGTATGGTGGTAGTTTAGCTGCTGAGAAACACTGAGCCACAGGTTAGTGATATCAACTGTAACCCATTCTTCCTCCTGTAAAAACTGAAGTTCTTCAGGGCTAGAGGAAGCGATAGCCGGCATACTGCAGCAAGCTTGGAAATGAGACTGTCTCTGTAATGTTTTCCAAAGCTTGCAAGTGAATTGGGAACATCTCACAGACTTCAGTGGAACCTAGATGTTCTTGAAGATCATGCCTATCCTGCTAGTTATTTGTGTTTTAGAGAACTTTACTCTGATAGAATCCAAGCATGCCGAGCTCTGAGCAGGATGTGGCCCTTTGGGTCTTTCAGGAACTGTGTACTAGAGCAGGTGCAAAGTTAAGGCCATAATCCTGGCCACATCAGCTTCTTAATAAGAAATATCAATGAAAGACTGTGAGCAGTCGAAACCAAGATAGTTACTATAGAAATAAATGTGATAGCATCAGCTCAGTGAGATAGAAACTTTTTGCAATTTAGGGGAAATGGCAGTTTGATAGAGAACTATGCAATGGAAGCTATGCAGCATGGACAAGTGAAGTTACTGCTGGTTTTAATTCCACTGTACTGGTATTTTAAATATCAAAACCATTGAAGATACTAGTCCGGTGTTCTTTTGAGATCACACAAAGTAGGGTACTGCTCTTCAGAGTCAAGCCAAAGTTGGGGGAAGGTTTTGGGCAAATGCTGTGAAAGATGAGTAAAAGCTTGTGAATTGTATTTCGAAGCTTCAGTCAAATCAGAAGGTTACATTCGCAGAAGTGTTCTTTGCAAGGCTCTGTACACTGACAGTTCCAGGTCCAGCTGGCTCAGACAGCCAGTCACCCATCATTTTCTTAATGAGAAATATGGCTTATTGGTTTAATCAGTTTTTACACCTCCTTTTTTCAGTTTTTACACCTGTGTATAGACTCTGTTGTTGACAACATAACTTAGCAAACAACGGTTTTGCATTACGCAGAGTAGACTCCAGCTCATTCACCCATAACTTGTTTGTTCTGCAAGTGCAAAGAGGAAAGCAGAGCTATTTGTGCCACTAAGAGACCCGGTGTAATGCCATCCCCCACAGTAAATCCAGAGAATGAGCGGTCTGCTCTGCTTTTACAATGTCACACGGGGCTCATGGGTTCAGATCCCTCTGGAGTTGCAACTGTTCCAAAATTCAGAAATTCAGTTCTTTTTCCTGCTGCTCTGACACAGAATGAATGGTATTAGCTGCTGCCCTGTGAAATGAGAATTTCTGGTATTTTGTCTTGTATTTCAGGAGATTTCACGACACGTGCGAGAGTTGCTGGGGATTGACGAGCCTCTCTTCAACAGATCCATTGCCCTCCCATACAGAGACAACATGGGTCTCTTCCTGGAGCGAAAGTCCCGATCAGGAAAGAAAGCAGATGCCCTCACTTTCTCACAGTTTATCCAAGAAGCAGGACTGGAGCCCTATTCTACAGTCCCTCCTTTGCAACAAGCCCAGGTTGGGGTAGAAGCAGATGCTCTCCCTGGATCGCAGGGCACCCAGAGGCAGGATTAGGGACTTGCACTGCACTTCCACCTTTGTAAGAAGCCCAGCAGGGACTGCAGAATATACCCTTATTACCTAGCAGTTTGTTCAAGGAGGTACATTTCCGCCTTCTCCCAATTATAGAAAAGGCCATTGCAGCTCTTAGCCATTTGATGACGGTAAACATATCCCCACATTCGCTCTTTTCTGCAATCCTTTGTTTCCAGGAACTAAGCAAATCGGACTGTACCACTGTCTGTCTGTCACTTCTGCTTCGCAGTTGATTAAAAAGACCAAAACCCAATCATAGATGTATTTTAATTACCAGTGATAGATAACAACTTCCCTGCAGCTCAAGTGAATAGATTTCTCCCAGGCTTTAGTGTCTGCAGACTGTGCTCACTGTAAAGCCCAGATGTAAGATAAATAGCATATATGGTAACTGGTAGACAGGTGTGGTGCCAGCTGCTGTTGGTGATCACAATTAAGCAAGGGGCCTAGTTACAACATGCACAACTAATCCCTGGCCTCCCCACAGAAATTATTTCCTGTGAGGCAAAACCAGGCAGTGGTTTATCATAGTAAACAGTACTGAAACACATGATGGATGATGGCAGGAAGTATAAGAGAATACTGCAAGCTGAACTAGAGAATTTAGGGAATAAAAAATGCTTTGTCCTGGGTGGATTTGGACAGAATATCCAGTTACCTCCCTTTCCCTTGAAACAAATATCATGTAGTCTGGGGTGGTGGTGGGGTGCATTATCACCAGCAAGGAAGTATGAATAAGTGCTGATTAAAGCCTGGCTCAACAGAAAGAGTGCTCCTGACTAAATCATTACTGTTTTGTCTGGCATCAACGGCTTCTTTGAGATCCCCCATGTAAAAACTAAAAAAAAAAAAAAAAAAAAACTTACCCCACCCGTTTTTTTTATATTTTAAAAAACAAAAAAAAAAAAAAAAAAAGACTTGCCCAGTCCTGTTTAGTTATTTATGCCAAAGCTGTAGCCAGTACAAAATAACTGTCATTTGGGTTTGCAATTAAGTTTTCTATTGAAACTTCAACGGAAACCCAGTGAAACTGAAGCAGTTCATAGGCCAAGATGACTATGCAATAAGCAAATTCAGACCAAAATAAAGGAAGACTCAGGCAGCCAGGGAGAAGCAAGTTTGCTGAGCAGTCTAGAGAGTGAAACTTGTAGAACCAAATGTGTACATAGGGTTATTGGCTGGCATATTTTAAAGACTCCAAGAGTGAACAGTGTTGGTTCTTGCACCCCTCAGTCCCATGAGGGGGTTGAGATGAGATCTCAGCAAAGCATTCTGCCATGGGCTTCATTATAGTTTACGAGGATTTAGAATCATAGTCAGTAGTTTCCTCTGGAATTTCTGAGAAAATGTCAGAAGCAGCTGTGGAGAATGGAGACTTGTCATCCAGCATCACAGCAGGCTCCACTGCAGCCAAAGTAAGAGTTGTCTTGGTGCTGATCAGCCCACATTGCTTTGTAGGCCAGTCTCCAAAGGATGCCTGGTATATAGAGCAAGATGGCACCGGATAAGCTCACTCTTTTTTAGCAGCTGGCTAAAGGGAGACTCTCTCAGTTGTGTAGCTGTCAGGTCAAACCAGGGGAAGGTTCTGGGAAGTGAAAACAAGTGGAAACTTTTATGGGCAATAACAGGCCGAAGCAGCTTGCTAATAATTTAAAAATAATGGTTTTCTTCAGTGTCGGACTATGAGTCGCTTTCTCGGGTGTTTGAGAAACAGACTCAGAGACTTGAATCTGAAGTGTTCCAGGCATTACTCTGCCATGCGGAGCAAAACGGAGTCTAATGGCTCTAGAACAATCCTGCACAAGCAGGCGGTGTTCCCCTGACTTAACATCCCCAATAGTCTAGTCCATGAGCTACCATAAGTTCATTACCTGTAAGAACTGTCCTCTCTAGATATTCCCATAGGAATTTTTTTTTCTGCATCCAATGCCCCAGTCATGATCAGTGGCTTCAGACAACCCTGATAAGGAGCCAAGCAGGAACCAGGGACAAAATAACTCAGTCAGATAGTCCAGGTCTTGTATCGCTAATAGATCATCTAAGGCAATCTTCCCTGGCAGGTATGTGGTCCTAAGGGCAAGACACCTTCCAACCCAACAAGACAGCCCATGCTTCAGCTGTGGGATGAGGCAAGTTTCAGAGCAAAGAGGAAGCCTGGACAAGCAGTACCTCAGCATTCAACCCTTTACCTACTCCTCTTGAGTCACTGAAGAGGCAAAACCTTTGCTGACAAAACTCTTGCACACGAACTGTGGGCAGGAAGTTTTCTGCTCTGTGCAGATGGGGCAGCATTCAGGAAAACAGCGGTCACTGAATAATTTCAGTACCTTCTGGTGAGGCAGGCTCTGCCATGTGCTGCTGTTCAGGGCTGCACAGAAAACGCCCGCCAGCCAGTCAGCATTGACTCTTATTTTCCCTGCAGGACAAACAAAATCAAATGTCAGTTACCAGTGTGCACACAGGTGTGAAGAGATATTCACATCTCCCACTCCCGCGAAGCATTGCACTGGCAAGCAATCAGAGCTGGTGTATTTGAAACCTCTGACCTAGGATCATTTTAGGTGAGGGATGCTGAAATTAATAGTAATAAGTCTAGTATAGCTTGTATTTTCTGTAGCTCATTCTCATCGAGTAAACAGGGATCCTTTACAGGCTGCACCTAAAGTCATGGAACCATTCAGCCATGATGAGCACTGTAGCTGCTTTTAAGAGCTCAGAAACGCAGGAATTAGAAGCGCATATAGAAGCATATAATGAAATTGCGATGGACAGAGGTAGCAGCTGGCAGTAGGAACAGCGTGTCCTTGGAAATAGAAGGTGTGCCTGAGGGGAGAGAAAAAGGTTTTGGACCATGTTTGTGCTTGAAAAGTATATCTCGGCTCCTGCTCACTGACTTAGCCTCACAGCTGCTATTGTTTCGCAAAGGGAAGCGCTGGCTCTTTAGAAACTGGTGGCAGGTACACGGAAAGCAGTGCTCCTGGAAGACAGGGTGACCCCCAGGAGAAACTGGTGAAGGAGACACGTACTGCCTCATTTTGCCCATCCACTTCTCGTGCACGACTACCCCTTTCCACGCACGCTATTTCCACTCCAGCTTTAGCTGTACAGTGGCAGGATTTCTCTAGGAGGGTTTTCTTCCCCACACCTCACTCCTAACAAACTCATCGCCAGCTCAGTCCCAGCCTTCAATCATACAGGCAGGGGAACCACCGAGCGCAGCTCCTCAGAAGAACTGCTACCAAGTTGAAGCAAAAAGAGAGCTTTTACCTCGGGAACGCAGGGGCGCCTTGCCTGCAGAGCAGCGGGGCCTCGCCGCGGCGCCGGGACT